TTCGCTCAACAGCTCTCCGTCTCAATATCCAGCTCCATCAAGTCCGTCGACCAAAAGAAAGAAATCGAAGCTGAAAGATGAGGTAAAGAATGGATACCGTAAATGCTGTATTAGAACGTAAATGTTGAGATCCACTTTCATGAGGCTAGCTAGGTTCATCTGTAAAACTATAACATTACTCTATCAAAAAACTAACTCAGATATTTCAGACTGTTGAGACGGTGACGAAGTCGACCAAACCGGAAGTCCCGTTGAATCCTTTCCGCACCTTCGACACCGCCGAGCCGCTAACAGTTCAAAAAAGAGGGAAACATTGTGATCATCGGTGAGACGGGAGTCGGAAAATCAACCAGGATGAATGGTATAGCGAATTATATAAAAATTCGACTCATTTGATGATGCTTTAAACGGAAAGAAACCGAGTGCGTGATCGATCCTATGGAGTTCAACTTGTGTACACTGGGGAGAAGTTCGAGAAATCAACCATCTCGATGAAAGCGCAAACATTGGAAAGTGAGAAAACGAGGCCAACGCGAGTACGGGACAATCCAGTACACAGGCACCAAAAGTCTATCGATTTATCACCGACATGGTGGCTTTCAATCTCATCGATACTCCGGGGATCGGTGACACGAGAGGCTTGGAATGTGACATGGAAAATATGAGAATGATCGCGAAATGTGTGCGAAATGGGATAAAATTCATGGGATTTGTCTTCTACTGAAACCGAATGTGAGTCGACTCACGCTGTCACTTCGATACTGCATCGTTGAACTGGTGGCAAATCTGCACCGAAACGCAATTCCAAACGTTTCCCGTTGTTTTCACGAACTCTTGCAACACTCTCTACAAACCAGAGACACGATGACAGTCCTGAGAAAGCTTTTTGAAGACGTGAAGAATGAGAACCAAAACGAGATCCCACTTACCAGTGCCAACACTTTTTGTCTGGATAATGAACCGGTGAGAATGCTCTACGCGGATCACAAAGGAGTTCAATTTGAAAAACCTGCGTCAACAACTTTTAGAAATCCTGGAATCATACTGTAAGAAAAACCTATAAATTATTTGATTCTGTCACCGATTTAGATCCGCACTTGGCGAATATGAGACGAAATTAGTGAGAGCATTGTTCGTGCAGTGACCCATGAGCTGTGCACAATTTTGGCTGATTTTGATGAAAGGATCAGACAAAGGCAAAAAGCTTTGGATCAACAAGTAAAGATCTGCATAAGATTCTGGAGCAGAAATTGGCTGATACGAAGAAGGAGAAGTTTTTCAAGGGACATACTTGAAAGAGACACCAATTCCCAACCAAATACAGTGTGTTGTGGACCGAATTGCGTGGAAACGATTCGAGATCCGACGTGGAATGCTTTGAAGGCTTTTCACAGAGCGGGTTTACTTTCAAAGCTGTTCAATTACAAAATGTGCCTTTGAATCAAATTGGGGCCACGAATTTGCATCAATGCCCAATTTTTGCCCAAGTAAGAAAATGCAGTGTTTGTGGATGCTCATTGGCAATCTCATATGCACATTTTGTACTCACCGAGAAAAAGATTTGGTAAGGTGAAAGCTGGCAATAAGGAAGAAAATTATCCACTTACTCAACAAATTTTAAACAAATCCTTGTACAACAAATACCTTGTACAACTAAGCCCAACTTCAACCTTCAAGTTCTCAGGGGAAAGGTATCAAAAAAGCTCAAGAACTGGCCAAGCCACGTTTTTTGCGTTTCTTCAGGAGAATCCTAATCGTTTCAGTGAATTCTGCTTTCGAGGAATATGCCGAATTCTCGATTGAACAATTAGAGCAAACACTGAAAACGGAAAGTGATCGATATGAGATTGATAAGCTGAAGAAGTTTGCTTTTAATTCACCAACAGCAGAAATTCAAAACAACGAGTGAAGCCGAGTGAACAAGGGAAGATCACTTTAGCGAACTACTCCCTGAGAATTTTAGAACTAAAAGATGATCTAATTGTTGGCACTGGCTTGCAGAAAATCGTCCATTTATAAAAAAATGTTTGATTTCCCGGATCTCGACGTTGTTTAGTAGCCACAAAAACAAATCTCATTGTTCAGTATAGAAAGTAGAGCGTGTGATTGTTTGAATAAATTTATTATGTTTGTTGTTTTTTTCCATTTTAATAGCTGTTTGAAACGCAGTTGAATATGTTTCTTTTTCTGAAAGTTTAAGTAGTTATTTTAATTTAACTTTAAGGGAGGCGCGAAGCGATCAGATGTTCGCCTCAGCGACTGCATTTTTGAATACTTGTGGACAAGGAAAGTGACTCCGAAACAATTGATGGACGAGCGGATTGAAAAGCGGAAAGTTAAACAATAGATACTAGTTCGTTTTCTAAACGACTTCCATTAGAAGCTAGAGTAGTCTAACGATAAGTATTCAAAGCCTGATTTTGGCTCAGTTAATGATACAGAAATTTAACTTTGAAAAGAAGGCTTTTACAATTTGATTACGGTAATTTTCAGTTTTTGTTGCATTTTAAACCTCAATTTATGTACCATGACTGAGTCAAAAATTAAGCTTTGAATGAAACTGGTTGTTTTTGAGTAGTACAGGGTGACCAAAAATGCAGGTCTATCCCAAAACAGCGCCGTACCCAAAGCAGCATAATGAAAAAACGCCCAAAACAGCGCCGATTCAAAACAGAGTTTTTTAAACAATGTACAATTAATTTTTTTTATTAGCAGCTTTTAATTTTGCTGCTTGGTATTTAAAAATAGCAGCAGTAACAATTCAACGAAGTACATAAAAAACATCAAAAGAAATAACACCAATAAACAGCAAAAGAAAAAATGAAAAATTCACAATAGTGCGCTTTCGTTTGCCCGGAAGTGGGGATAGAGCGGGATTGAAACAACGGTACAACGCCAGTCCCATATCTGAAAGAATTATAAAAATACAAGATATATTTAAATTCAGCCAGTTTTAATTTGTGCGAAGGTGGTAGCTAGCTGCTTGAAGATAGCCAAAGACTTCCTTGTAGGTGTTAGCATCCTTTCGATTGAAATAAACTTCACACTAGGAACAAACATGAGTTCTTGCTAAAATTTCTTAAATTTCGGCTTTTATTAAAATAAACCAGCCTCGATGCCAATAATGAAGACTTGTTACGATACGACAGGCGCGGGAGCTTAATGACCTGTCGCAGGACCAAATGGCATTCCTAAAATTGCAATAAAAAAATTTTACAAATATGTAGCTAACCTGCAATAATTGTTGAAGAGTATTAGAAACCTTGTACCCTTATTTTATTTTCTATATAAAATCATTTTAAAAAGCGTGCGAAATTTTTCATCATCGGCCGGACTTGGCCACATTTTTGCGCCAGGGAATACTCGCTGTCGCCTCGCCATTTTTTTGCAAACATTGATGAGGCGTGTTACGTCGGAGTGGACTGTTTGTTATCGTCTGCCGTACAATTTCTTTGGCAGAGGACACCCATCTTTGCTTGGTGTTTAACATCTTCAGAACTACAATTCAGATCCCAAAACGCATTTATCACACAAACAACAATGTCTTGATCATCTACTTGCTTTTTGCTTTCTGGTAGCAAGTGGTTGTGATTTTTTCGTAACCGTAAAAGTGCCAGGTTGCTTTGTTTTGATAAGGCTCGGCCATAACATTTCGCCTTTGAACACCTAAAAAGAAAGCAAGAACTGGGTATTGCAAGATAATTGTACTTCCCTTACCTGTAACTCAAAAGTGATACGCCGCATTTAGGTGCTTAGTCCTTTCGATATTCGAATCCATCCTAGTCGTAAATCAGTGACCGTCCTTTTTGGCTTGTCATTCTGCGTAGAAAAATAAATTAATAACTAACAAACCGTAAAACTATGTTAACAAACCATAAATCATAAACCAACAACCATATTAGCACAAAGCTGATAAAGTATAAGCGGCAGCACCACGTTAGTCCTTTTGAAACATCAGCAGCGAATCAGCAAAATTTCTGATTGTGGCTGACTGATTACCTGCAAAATGAAAAAGCTAAGTAAGCTGGGCGAACCAAAATGTTAAGTCACACATCCATAATGCTGATAAAATATACCTCAAAATTTCACGAAGGTCCGTGATGATAAGACGACGATGATGCTGTGACGCACTTTAAGAAAAGAAGAAAGAAGAAAATAAGTTTTTTGCTCTTTTGGCTGTTTTGGGCGTTTTTGCATTGGCTCTGTTTTGGGCCACGCTATTTTGTGTGCAGCGCTGTTTTGGCGACGCTTTTTTGGTCGGCGCGCTGTTTTAGGATAGACCAGAAACAACGTTGTGGGATTTTCGGCAGCCTAAAATCCTCAAATTTCAATTTTGGTAGACAAATTTATTTTTAGCGCATTCTCTGTGATTGTTTTTATTAGTTTCTTTCTTGTTTTATTTTGTTTTATTTGACATTTTCAAAAGTCTATTCATTTTTCCATGGGGATGACAAGCAAAGGGAATCAGCCATAATTCATGAAAAATCATAGTTGAGGTCAAATGCAAGAGTGCGATCGCGCGATTGCTACGTGTTTCTCATCAGCTCGTCTCGAAGGCTGATTGGGCGATACAAGGGGCTTGGCAACGGTGGAGATGCGTCCGGGAAGAAGCCGAAAAAGATGGTCGACAACTCCAGAAATCGCAGCGTGATTTACAATTGCGTGGCCAGGAATCCCCACGGTCTCGAAAAGAAAAATCGCTCGACAGGAAAAGATCGCTCGCGGTCGTTCGACTTATGGCCAGCCAGCAGGCGTAATCTTCACCCTTACAAGCTCAAGCAAGGGCAAGAACTCGACGACAACAACAAACAGGTTCGACTCGAAAGATGCCGAGAGCTTCTCAAGCGGGCCTGGGACTCAGGGAGCAAATCCTGTTTTCTGACCCAGAAGCTCTTCTCGGTGGAGCAAAACTACAACCACCAAAATGAACAGATTTGGTCAATGTCCTCTCCCGGAGCAGCTCTGCGATTGTTCAACACCGACAAAATCCCAAATCGGTCATGGTATGGGCAGATCTCTGCGCAACCGGCAAAACTCCTCTCATTTTCATCGATTCTGGGGTAAAAATCAATAAGGATGTGTACCAAAAAAAGATTTTTGATAATGTTTTGCTTCCATGACCTCAACAGCATTTTGGTAACGGATTTTGGACCTTCCAACAAGACTCCGCTCCTTCTCATCCAGGCAAATCCACACAGGACTGGTGTGGGGACAAACTTTCCCAGCGGATTTCATCTCGGCCCAGGAATGGCCTCCGTATTCATTTGATCTCAATCCGTTGGACTACAGTGTTTGGTCAATTTTTGGAAGCAAGAGGCTGGTGCAAAACCCCTACAAAAGTTTGGAGGCCCTAAGCCATCGCTGACCAGGGAATGGGATCGAATCACTCAGGCCGAGCTGCGTGCCATCGCAGAAAACAACATCGAGCGTTTGAGGCTCTGCATCGGAGCCAAAGGTGGCCACTTTGAAGAAAAGTAGATTTTATGCTCTCTTTATATCATGTTGTTTATAAAAAATTGTTTCCGTTACAAAACCTTTTTGGATTTTTAGAAAATAGGCTAAATTAGGCCGCGACGTTATTTCTGGTCACCCTGTATAGGTTTGCTTTCCTTTCTATACTACACTGTAGATCGATCTGATTCTACAATCAGTGCAGTGTCTTTCAACAGTGATTGTAAAGACTTTAAACTAGAAGTGAAACTGATAGTAATATATAAAAGTTCACAAGGAGTTTGCTATCTAAATCTACAAGAGCCTTTCAGGCTGATGACCTCAGTGCAACGGAGTCGGCTTCTTTCGATCAAACACGCCAATTCAACCCTTCTCAACAGCCAATTCATTCCAATGATCCCGATGCAGATGTGAAGAAGAAAATCGTGCTTTTCAACCTCCTAGAACCATTTGGCGATGATCAGATGAAAGAGCAAGCCGATCGGAATGCTTTTCATCAAGTTTTATGTGCGATCAACGCGGAAGGTCTGGCCGAAAATATTCGTGAGATCAAACGAGAAGGACGATTTGAACAAAATGGACGACCTCGTCGTGTAATTGTGACATTTACCGATGAAAATGTGCAACGAATCGTTGTCGAATGTGCGCCGCAACTCTCAAAGACTCGTCAACTGAAACATCTAGCGCTTTATGCTTACAAATCACCGGTGGGTTGAGCTTATAATTAGGTTGAAAAACATAATTAGGTTGAATAATTTATAATTAGGTTGAAAAAGCAATAAGAGTTTCGATAAATACAATTGCTGTAGAATTACTTGCTTTGCTCTAGTTTTATCCAAGTTAGGTACTACTTTTGAGATTATTCGGGAGGATTTCGATTGGATAAAATAGAGAAAAGATACTTTGCAAAAGCGGACTTGAGATGAACACACTCTAGTTAAAACTTTGAGACAAATCTTACAAATCGATTCAGGCACAACGGTTCGAACCACTTCCGAAACAACAAACGAAACGTCAAAACAACAAAACACAGGTGAGCTCAAGAATACCCATAACTTAGTTTTGATTCCTTTTGCAAGGTCGGTCATAATGTCAAGGCTTGCATGACTTGTGAAAGGTTTTACAGAGCCATTTGAAACTTTTAGCCGACGAGAGCGGATGGGTATCACGGTGGCACTTCTCGGAAGGTTCCCGATCAAAAGTTCGAGCAAAGAGGTAAGCATGCTGTCGTTTTAATTTATTCTATGAAATGGAAATGACCCACTAACGTTTAAACGTTTGCATTCTGTTTTGATCAACCTGTTTATCCAAAAAATCAAAAGCTCTAATCCCAGGCAAGAAAGAACCACGACCTCAACGTCCACCGCGATCTGATTCGCCTCGACTTTCAAAAAACAGCCATGCTGGGAACTTGTACGAGAGTACGACAAATCCTTCGAATGGTTAGTTTTAGGAAGGGAAGTTTTCATACTGATGAGGGAACCCAAATGCTATACGACCTATACCATTCGACGCAGAATTTTATGCTAATTTCGAATATGTATTCCGTTTTTGCTAAATGACAAGTTATAAGCAAGTTATAAGGAGTTATAAGCGTTTGTTAGGACTCTGAAAGTGTGGTCATTTGGGTCTCAGCGGCTTCTTTGCGGACGCGGCTCGGTGTAGCCGTGGCGGAGTGGTACAGTGCTCGTTTTCCAGAGCGAGACCTCAAAAGTTCGATCCCCACATTTGATTTTGCTTTTGTTTTTTCAAGAAATGATGTGCTCTTTGTGATTGACTAGGGTTCTTTGTGCGCGCGCATAATCTCCTTCCATCTGACACATCCCTTTCCATATATAAAGCCATAAGTTAGCGTTGTTTTGTGAGTTCTCTACGATTATCGGGACAAGACATACCCTTTCAGGTGCACTGAAGTTATTGTACTTTGTTCTCGGGCACTTACACGCACCCCTCCACACTCAATTCTTACATCAACGCCACTGTAGGAAGAAAATAATGGAGAAATCGGTGCACCAGAAGGAATGCGTTTAGCCATCTAGTGAACACAAAGTACATCTTATGCACATAGTGTGTGCGAAAAAAAGTACATACATCTTAGACCTTAGATACTGTTATTGTTGTTGTTGTTAAAGTTAAAGCAATGGTTAAAGTTATCATGACATTTTTCAGGCAAGTATGTCGCTCGATCGGAACCTCCGCGCCCCATTTTGCCGCAACGTTCCGAAACAAGTAGCAATGCTGGGAGCGGAAAAATGCTACAGTCTTCCAATGATCAGTTTTTCGAATAGCCTCATGAATGAAAACACGAAACCTTTCTAAAAAACATAAAGCTGTACTAAAGTGGAAATCTTTTAGATATCCCTCTCCATTCCCAGCCTCCATCCAGCATTCCGCTGGCTCCAAAACAATCGAATGGGAATCCTTTACAGAGAGTTGAAATCTCAAACTCTAAAAACCGTGGGTTTTCGATAGGTTTCTCAATACCTTCTACATGACCAAAAAATTTAGGTCATAAACAACACGGAAAACCTTCGAACGTGCAATCCAATGATGTGAACCCAAAATATCCACAACGAATCTTCCACAACTCTTTCAGATTTGGACACAATGGCGCTAGGTCAGGTAAGGCTTAAAATCAGTAATAACCCCTATGGAACTTGGATTTCAGCTTGAGTAGAGTCTTGATATAAAACCTGTAGTACTTTTGAACAATTCAGGCAATGGTCAACAAAATGGAATGAACGGACAACACCTTGCAAATCAGCAAGCACCATTTCCACAGCAAATGTTCAACAATGCTTTTGGTTTTGCACCAAATTTTGCCCCGCCAGGTGAGATTTGAAAATATTAAGGGATTGACAAAAGTTTGAAAGCAGCTCAAAAGGCCGATTGTGAGACTTGGAAACGCAAGAAGTTAAGGCTAAAAATTGGAAAAGTGTGAAGTTAACTGATAAATTTTCAGGAAATCCTCAACCAGTTCCACCAATGCCTTTCAACCCAATGATGATGATGCAAATGTACGGAATGTTTCTCAACTCTCAACAAGCAAAGCAAAACAATCCTTGCGTGCCGTCAAATGTGCCAACATCAGCAAATGAGTTTTCTGAAGAAAGTGAAGAATCGGAGGAATCTGAAGAAGAATCTCTGACTGAAGAAGAGCAAAACGATGAGCCAACAAATGAATTTTTCAAGGCTCAATCTGAACAGCACACTGGCACCAAGAAAGAGCTCAACATTCTTGTTCTTGGTGAAACAGGAGTCGGAAAATCGACTTGGATCAATGGAATCGCGAATTACATGAGCTTTGACACACTTGAGGATGCACTCAACGCTCGAGAACCGATTTGCCTTATTGCCAGCAAGTTCTCTTTCTACGAGACAAATGAGACGAAGATCGACGTGAAACTTGAGCCATCGCACAGCGAGGAAGACGAGAATGAGACATTCTCCGATCAGGGTCAATCGTCGACACAAGAACCGAAAACGTACCAATTTGAGACGTCCAAGTACATTGTGAATATCATTGATACTCCTGGAATTGGAGATACTCGTGGAGTTGAGCAAGACAAAGAGAATACAAGGAAAATTCTTGGCGCCATTGGACAGTACAAGCATTTGCACGCAATTTGCTTTCTCTTCAAGGCCAATGAAGCAAGAATGACGTTGAGCTTCAGATATTGCATCAGTGAGCTCTTACTCCAACTCCACAAAGACGCTGTTGACAATATTATCTTCTTTTTCACAAATGCTCGTGGCACTTTTTATAAACCCGGTGATACAATGACTCCATTAAATACTTTTCTCACTGAATTGCACAAGGAAAGAGGACTTCGAATTGCGCTCTCAAGTGATAAAATCTGTTGCACTGATAATGAAGCTTTTCGACTTGTCTGTGCTCATTTCAATGGAGCGAAATTCACCGAAGAAGATTTTCAAAATTTTGCCGGAAGCTGGAGACAATCAGCTGCTGAAACCCATCGTTTTATTGAGTTCACTGCTCGTCAACGGCCACATCATGTTGCTGATACGGTTTCGATCAACAAGGCAAGAACGATCATCTTTCATTTAGCGAAACCATTAGCCGATGTGAATGAGTTGATCGAGTCGAAAATCAAAGTATTTGATGAGAGAAGGAGAGATCTCGAAAATACAGCTGCGACTTTGGGTGATTTGAAGAAAAAGCTTCTGATTCCACAAATTGGAATAGAAGTCAAGCCGCTGGTCTACCCGAAAACCGTTTGTGCTGCTCAAAAATGCATTGATACTATCCAATTGCCACACACTACGCAATACCAAACGATCTACAAACAGATTTGTCATGATCATTGCTTTCTCAAAAATGTTGATGTAGAACGTGTCCCTGAGCCTCACCTTCAACAATGTGCTGCAATGGCTGGAAGACCAAATTGTCAAGTGTGCGAATGTCTTTGGAGTACACATATGCACATCCGTTTTGAGCAAATCAAGACTAGTGTCCAAGTCGAAGACAACAACACGAAGACTCTCATTCAACAGAAACAAGACGCGAATAAAGTGAAGGAGAAAATGATTCGGGATTGTGAGAATACAATTGATGAGTTAAAGAAAGAACAACAGAAAATCATCAGAACTTCTCTGCGATTTGGAAGCTTTTTGCAAGCCAATGCCATCCTTCCCTACAATGACGCCTTCGAGAAATACGTTGAGCAAACAATTTCGGAAGAGGAGAAATGCACGGGTATTGGTGGTGATCGATCGAAATTGAATAATTTGAGAAAGATTTTGGTTGAGTATCGACAAGAGAAAGCTATGCTGATCGAAGCGCAGAAGAATCCAATTGCAAATGGAGGGAATAAGATTACTCCAGATGAGATTGAGGTGATGAAAGCGGAATTGTTCGGGCTGAAACACACGGGGAAAATTCTGAAGAACTTGTTTGCTGCGACGGAAGACGGGTTGGCAAAACATCAACGATATGTGACGGTTAAATACTCACCACCAAAGCAGGTTCAACCGGCAAGCTTTGGGAAGTACAAGAAGACGGTCGAGAAAGAGATGTGGGTTTAAAAGTTGCTTGGTTACTGTGGCTCTTGAAACTAAATTTGTATTTAAAAGCTTGCAGCATAATTAAGAATTCTTATATAAATGAGCCAAAATTTCACAAGTGGAGATGCTTAAAATTTTGGATACTGTATGATAGCTTCAATCAATTTTAGTATAAACTAATTAAAACTAATGAAACTGAAAATAAACTTTTCTGCTCGTCGCTGTTTTACGCGGCGCTGTTTTGGGATAGACCCACTGAGCCTTGTGATTCCTCAACGAATGATACCAAAATCGAGCTAATTAAATGCAAGCTGACAGTTTAATTCTAATAGGTTTCTAGAAAAGGTGTCCGTTAAGAAACGCATTACTCAGAAAGAACATACTTCAATGTTTGTTACGGTGAAGTAAACCTTCAGTAAACTTTTACACTCCGCTTTTCAGCCCTGCGCCTTCGAGCGGTGGAGGGAAGAAGCAACAGCAAAACAACAACAAAAACAAGTACAAGAAGAGCAAGAACAATAGAAAATAGAACCATTTCATTAAGTTGTGTTTTTTGTTTATTGATGCTCTTTAACTAGCAATCATTTCCTTTTTTCACAAACGTTTCTTATTCATTCATTTCTCATCAATAAATTTCTCTTGGTAATCTTTTGACTGCTTTTAGAAACGGTTTGGTCCCATCTCTATTCAGAACTTTTCAATCTCATGTTTGGTCTAGAAATTTAGTTGATTTAAGCTTTAGAGCATTATTTTGTGGAATGGTCTCTAGACTTCCTTCCTCTAATGACGCACAAGGTGGGTAACTAAACCAAGGAAATTGTTCATAAACGTCTACCATTTGGCACACTGACGAATTCTGATAACAAGTTAGATTTCAATAACAATAGGTTGTTTTTTTAGATGCTGCGACTCCTCAATTTCCCCACACTTCACCGGTGCCGATGGAAACTGATGACATTGAGCTTGAAGCACCGACTTTGGTTGAGCAACAGGCAAATTTTAAGCGATTAGTGCAAAAATTCTTAGCCTAACCAGAATATCAGCAGCTTATTATAAAAGATTAAGGGTAAATTAAAAAGACTTAGGATTTTTCAGAATTTCCCGGAACAAATGGAAGAAATGGATGCTTCCAATGAAGTTCAAAGGAAAAACGGTTGCAATCAACGCTTCGATACTTTAAGTGTTTTTGTTAATCGACATAATCGTTGGCTTTAGTTAGCAATTTGCTTCATCTTAATTTAGGCTCAAGGATTTTTCAGGAAAGCTTTAGTTGATAGGACTCCAGTGAGACTTATTCGAAAATTATAATTAAGCAATTTTAGCCACTCGCCAGAAAATCCGATACTGATCAACGAAACGCTGTCGATTCGCTCAACGGACGTCAAGATGTGAATTTGATTCGTGAAGCCCAACTGAACGCCCACAATATCAATGCCCGTCTACAAGATCTATCACCCGAACAACAAGAACTCTACTTGAAAACTTTTAGCAAGAATTTGTGGAGAGAAGACAAACAAGTGAGTGTAGTTATTTCACTAGAACTTAAAAATGAAAATGTTTTGACTAAAACGTGTCATTTTTTTTTTTTTTTACTGACAAAATTATGATAATTTTCAGATGTTAACACCGCTCTATTAAAGGATTAAATACCATTTTCAAATACGAAACGAAATTTTCAGGATGATTTCTCGAAGAGGCCATTGGAGAAAGCTGTGGATGACTTCATTCTTTTGGATCTTTCGGTTGAGATTCCGCCAATTGAAAACAGCCAATCAAGTGATTGCAATTCATCAAATGATCCACAAAGCTTCCTGAATCGAGAAACCACAAGCGGACCAATTGCTGCTGATATTTACAAAGACAACAATCCAAGAAAACTTTTTGGAACTTCTCAATTGCCTCTTGAGCGAGAATTCGAGGAACAAGATGTCGTCTCAGCTGTAAAGCCCTTATCTTCCTTTACCTCCTCAAACACTTCATTCCACGGGTGCCAAACAAATGTACAACAACTTGTCAAGCAATTTGAAAAAGCTCCGAATACTGATTGGCCTCCAAGGTTGAGCTATGACTTGAAATCGACTCAAATTAAATCCCCGCCAGCTTTCGAAGCTCCAACTTACGAAGATTCTCAATGTTCTGAAAATTCAAGATATCGACAAATTTCTGACTCAAATCAGAAATCTTACTATCCAACCATTGAAACTGAGAGGGAAAATGGAAATGGATCAGTTGCAGAGCTGAAAGAATACTCACCGATGACTCCAATTGGTTTGGGCTTCTCTGCTCAGCGAGGTTCATCGGTAATTGAAGACACATCGAATTCTCAGAAAGTTTTAGATCGTTTGAGCCGAACTACTTCCAAGATAATACATGGTGATTTGGAAAAAGAAAAGGAAAATGAGAATGGATTTTCGTTTTCGAGAAGGAGTTTAAGTTATGAGGCTGCTTCAAAGAACCCGACCAGCTTGAGCCCCATTACCGTACCTCAAACTTCGGCAAGTTCTCAACATTCTTCTGAGCACTCGAGTCAACTGGCTCGCTACTCGACAAGTTTTGGATCTAAAGACAATAACAAAAATGGGCCGTTTGCAGATAGGAAAGGAGATCTTGATGGTGTCAAGAGTCACTGTCTTTCTTCTCAGTTTCAAAGCACTTCTGATAATAAGCCAACTTTACAAGTTCTGAATGAAGAGACGAAACGACCTGCTTATACAAGAAGCTGGAGTCAAGTTGTCCAGGGAAAACCGGAAAAGCGTGAAAATTACAAGAGCCAAAACGAATCAAAAATGTGCTCAAGTACGAGTGAAGCTAAGAAATCGGAACTTGTTATTCCTGAAACTTCTTCAAATAAGCCGAGATTCACTGCCCCATCCCCAGAAATTTCCCTCGAAACCGTCAAAACACAAGTAGCCAAAGTCAAAAAAGAGGAAAACGAGTGGCTACAGAAGGAAAATGTCAAAGTGCGAGAATTCGGCTCAACAACGAAAAAGTCGATCAATATATTGGTGCTCGGCCAGACAGGAGTCGGGAAATCAACATGGATAAACGCTCTTGTCAACTATTTAACTTACAAAACGCTAGATGAAGCGATTGCTGCCGAGGCGCCGATTTGCGTGATTCCAACTAAATTCACAATGTATGACAACAATTATCAGAGATACGATGTCCATCTTGGAGCACACGACAATGAAGTTTTTGCTGACAATGGTCAATCAGCCACTCAAAGCGCTAAGACGTATATGTTTGAGCAAGATGAACACAATATTTATATCATTGACACTCCGGGAATGAATGATACCAGAGGACACTTGAAAGATGAGGAAAACATTCAGAATATTCTTCGATCAATCGCACCTTTCAAAGAGATCCATGCGATTTGCTTTCTTTTCAAAGCGAATGACGCTCGTCTCACGGAATCTTTCCGCTACTCTATCGGGAAATTGCTTGGGAATTTGAGTAAAACGGCGCTTAATAACGCTTGCTTCGTTTTCACAAATGCTAGAGGAACTTTTTATCGACCGGGTGATACAATGGGACCGTTGAAAGCTTATTTCAATGAGCTGAAGGAGAAAGAAGGACTTTCAGTCAGAATTGATGATAGCAACATCTTCTGTTTGGACAATGAAGCTTTCCGATTCCTTTGTGCTCATTTCAGTGACATTCAATTCGATACAAGGGAAATAAAAACGTTTGGTGATAGCTGGAAACATTCGTCGAACGAAGTGCAGAGATTGTTGGATCACGCTGCACGAGCTCGCCCGCACAACACCTCAGACACGCTGTCAATCAATCAGACCCGGACTTGGATCTATCAGTTAATCGATCCAATTCTCAAAGCTTGTACAATGATTCAGAGAAACTTGCAGGAACTGGATTGGCAGAAGGAAGAGCTGATGCAAGCTGAGAACAATGTTGAAGAATTGCGGAGATTGGCAACGATTCGAGTGACTTCAATGGAAATCTTACCGCTATCGATGCCCCAAACCGTTTGTCGGAGTCAAAAATGTGCAAAGTATGAAAGGATTGATGGAAAAGAAACGTTGATCTACAGGGTATGCCACAAAGATTGCAAACTGGGCGATAATAGAAAGCGAGACGGATGTATGGTCTTTAATTACAATTTCTGCAATAAATGCTCCTGTCACATAAATGATCACGAGCGAATCTCGTACGAACAACGAATCACCACAAAATCTCTGGAAAACCCACAAAAACTCGCCTCAGAAGCGAATGCTGCCGAGATGAAGAAAAGCTCCATTCGAAAATTTGAGCGACTCATCAGTGGATTTCAAAAAGAATCCAACTACATTCTAGTTGCAATGGCAACTTTTTCTGCTTTCCTTGCTGAAAATGGAATCACTCAGAAAACGAATCTCTTTGAACAACACTTACAGAAGCTGATTGTTGCCGAAGACAAGAAAATGAGAAGCGTAGCTGGGGTGGATGCGGATGAATTCAATCGATTGCTCGAACTCAGTGTGACTTATGGAGATATTTGCAAACAATTTGTTCATCAACGAGACCCGGCAAAGATCTCACTTGATGAGCTGCAAGAAATTCGACAAAAGTTGTTCTCTTTGCCGCTGAATGGCGCAATGATTGCACAGATTTTCGATATTCATGTGAAGACCGATCATCAGGATTATGAGGCAACTGTGACACGCTGCCAGAAATCGATGTTTCAGTGAGTTTTGCAAAAAATAGCTAGACAAATAGATAGAAAAATAGAGACATTGATACAATAAGTCCCAGTCTTTTGCTCATTGCATTATATTGGAATAATTTAAGTATAGCCATTTGCACAAATCCAGCTCTTGTAGCTGATTTTTGAAGTAACTAACTATCTAGCATTCAGATAACCCTAGAGTAACCCTAGAGTAACCCTAGAGTAGTGCGTCGTCCAAAAGGTAGTTTTCCGAATTAGCCATCTTTTAGAAAACGCATCACTCATTGAAACCTATCAACTAGCTTAAAATAGTAGAGCTTAAGTTTTATTTATTTAGTAGAGCTTAAATAGAGCTCTACTAAATAAATATTGGATTGGTGAATTGAAAACTGCCGGCTATTTCGCGGGACTCGCAGATAAAAAACAACAGCATTGAACTAGCTGAAAGGGGGTTTGGTTACTTCAACATTTCCTCTAATTATTGCGAAAAAATTATGCTTCCAGCTTTTTATTTTTCGGTATTTTTCACTTCTTCTATTGCACTCGACAATCTGCCACCGGGACATATTTGTCATGTCATGCTTCATGAGTTCCTACAAGAGCACAGTGCAAGCTTGGCAGCTGCTTATATTGAAAAGATATATGGAGAGAACTCACCCTCCGAAAGAACGTGTCGAGTATGGTTTGCCAAGTTTCGATCTGGGGTCAAATCTTTGAAAGATGCAGAGGGTCGTGGTGCGGCACCCCAACTGGATGATTCCAAATTACTCGAACTCATTACCAACGACCATCGGATATCATCGCGTGAATTGGGAGAAGAGTTAGGGGTTGATCATGCTACAGTGCTAAGGCACCTTCATACCCTTGGATTTAAATCGAAACTTGGGGCTTGGGTGCCCCATGACTTCAATAACCCCCAGAAGTGGCAGCGCGCCTCGATTAGTGCCGTCCATCTCTCACAATACAAAAGGAAATCTTTTCTTTCTTGAATTGTGATAGGAGATGAGAAATGGGTTTTATCTGTGAACTTTCAGAGGAAGTGGCAATGGGTGGGGCCAGGCGAGAAACCCGAAAGTGACCCCAAGCCCGATTTGCACCAGAAGAAGTTTATGCTCTGCGTTTTCTGGGATATGGAGGGAGTGGTGTACTGGGAGTTGCTGGATAGCAAGACGACCCTTAATGCAATCAAATACAGTGAACAGTTGGGAAAGGTGAATGAATCCCTGAAGAAGAATGGGCCCTCCAAGTCAAAGATCGTTCTCATCCACGACAACGCGCGCCCTCATGTTGCAAACCTGACTCGCTCTAAAATAAATAGCCTTGTTTGAGAACTTTTTGCGCGAAAAAAGAGAAAAAATATAATTGTAAAAACACCCCTGAAAATCGTGGTGCAAAAGTCTTTTCACATTTGCAAAAATTTTTATTATTTTCGTTCCCTTCGTATTTACTGGTACTATCTTATTTTTTTTAGATGCCAGGAGCGTACTTTTCAACTCCGGATAAAGAAAGGATCGTCGAGGCAAGGAAGGAAGGAATGCCACGACAAGACGTTGCTCCCCTCTTAGGATGTACGCCCACAACAGTTCCTCTTGTTATGGCGAAAATGAATGCGTCTGGAAGTAAAAAGATGTAGGAAAAAGGGGCGGCCGTGGATTACAACAAAGAATGAAAATCGATTCCTTACGGGAGCCTTCAAGAAGGATCCGAATTTAACGTAGAACGATGGAGCCATTCTTTTCAAGCAAACTTCAAGCAAGAATATTTCCCGCTGGACCTTGCATCGACGCTTGCTTCAAGCAGCATTGTATACTAGAAGACCTGCTTTCAAGCCTATGATGACAGCCAAACACAGGAGGCAGCGCCTTCAATTTGCTCGAACCTATTCAAACTGGACAATCGATCATTGGGCCCGAGTGATTTTTGTTGATGAAACAAAAGTTGATATTTTTCCTTCAAATCGAAATCATCTGATCCGACGTCCAATTGGAAAGCGATATCAACTCAAGTACTTGCAGCCTAAGGTGAAAACAGGCGGGGGATCAAGGATGTGTTTCGGTGAGGATAATTTTCTTTTTATGCAGCTCAACATGATTTCTTTAGGTGCGATATGTAAAAGTTCAACGGGTCCACTTGTCCTCGTGAATCAACAATGGATTCCCGCCAATATATTGAAATATTGGACAGATGTCTACTTCCATTTGCGACTGCTTCGATGAATCCAGGATGGTTTCTTTATCAAGATAATTTGCCAGTACACAAACGCAAACTTTTGATGGGCCGCGTTGTGACTCTCTCGAATGGAGGAAAAGCACATTTACCGGATCAATCACGTGTCTTTGATCAAAGCTCCGCGATTCTCACCGGATTTAAATGTTATCGAGAATTTATGGGCCTATTTGAAATTGAAATTGCGAGGAAAACAATTCAATTCCAAAGTCGAGCTATGGTTTTACATCAGAAAAATTTGGAGAACGATTGGACCCGGAGTTCTTGATGAATTAATTGATGATGATGCCTAATCGTATTAAAGAAGTACTTTTGGCAAAAGCAGGAGGGACTAAATATTGATCAAAGCTTAATTTCGTTTTTTGTGAAAAGACTTTTGTACCACGATTTTCAGGGGTGTTTTGACAACTATATTTTTTTCTCGATGAATAAGTGTTGTATAGCGATAACGTTTGTGTAAATAAATTGTACCTATATTTATGTAATTAAAATTATTAATAGCTTAAAACTAGCCATGAACTTTATCAAAGAAAATTGATGAAACTTTTTAGAAAATTGAGTGTTAAAAGACTTTTGCACATGACTAATTTTTAGCATGTATTCTTGAAACTTTTACAGCACTTCAGAAAATGGCAATAAATTATAATTTTAGAAAAGTATGCGGTGGTGTGAAGAAAGTGTTCTCGTTTTTTGGTGGCTCCACGAAATAATCCAAGAAAATATCGAAATTTCTTTTTTGTCAATAAACTATCTACTCTGCTTTGTTTCATTTTCCATTTGGTTATCTCATCCAAAAGATTATCTTGATTGAATTTGAAATACTGTTTACTTGTGAAATTATCGTTTTAAGCAAAAAAAACTTCTCTACAGATCGATGCCTCACTTGCAAAACAGCGCTTTCCTCTCATCGGATTCGTCGGATGCCGAGAACGAGGATTTCGAGCAAGTGAGTGGAAATTTAATTACCTAAGCATTAAAACATTAGAGAAATCGAGGATTACTGTACTTTTTAATACTAGGGTAACGCTATTTCAATTAGTGACTCTTCAATCTTGGAAAACTTACTTGATCTTAATCAGAAATAATTCCTAGTTCTCTGAAATTGTATGTAAATGTATCTTTTTGCAATGCTTTACAGTGGATTTTTAATTTCTTTGAGGTTGCCTTAGAGAGAACAGGTTGATTTATTCATAATCGTCATCTGCATATCAATTTTCAGATCGCAAATCCTCGTCCAGTGCCCGTGTTGACCGCTCTCTCGCCACCGATGCATCAACAAATGTTCAACTCTTCATCGGCGATTTCTCAAGAATCTGACGCTGCACCGCAAGGTATGCAAAGAATAGAAACAATAAATATTGTACTCTGCTATGCATTGAAAAAATTTCTTTGCAAATTGATCCATTACGAGTTTTTAGCAAACGATTCTGGCCGTCAAACGATGTCCTGCCAATTGTTTCCTGCCGGGATTCGAATTGCACCTACTTCAAATTTGCCGGTACTTACACAACTTTATTCTTCAAAGAAATTATAAATTGTGATAATTTCAGCAATTCCAACCAGCTCCACATTCAAACAATGCCGGGCCTCCGAATTTTGCTGACAATCGGATGCCATCGGTATGAAGAGAAGTGTTTTTAGGTTTTAAGCAAGATCATTTTTATTTATATTCTGCGTAAATTTAAGTTTTTATTTAAATCTAGAATTTCAAGCAATTCCCAATGGTCTCCCCGCAACCGGGCTTTCCTCCAGCAGTAACTCCTCAAATGCCACCTCAAGTTCAACAGATGCCCAACGGAAATATGATGGGATTCATGCAGGATCCAAATTTTATGCAACAAATGGTAGTTACAAGTTTGATTGGTTGAAAACATTTTCTTCTAGATGCTCTTCATGCAACAAATGCAGCTGCAAGCGCAACAATCGATGCAACAAAATGGGGCATTCAATCCCAATCCAGCTTTCCCGGGCTATGGAATGCAACCAATGCAAGGTAAGAACTTTGCAACTTTGGGAGTTTTGATGTAGTGAATTTGAAGGGACGCTTAAACTTCTAAAACGCGCATTTGGATAAGCTGTACCCCAAATTTAGTCACCAGGCATTTAGATACAGTCTTGCTGATTTAATTTAAATACATATATACTTAATTTGTTTCCTAAGCGTACCTTTTAGAAAATGCTTCAATTTTGATGAATCTAAACATTTAAGAACTTAACTTTAAGGCATCCAACAGCTACCCCAGCCTCCACCCGCTTACTCAGCATCACAAACTCCCGCTCCACAGAAATCCAAGCCAAAACCACAAAATGGTAAATAAAACCTAGCTGATTATTAATTAAAATGATTTCCAGGCAAGCCAAGCTCTTCGAAGAATCCACCAGTTTTGCCGGACTTGCCCACTTCTCATCAATCAAAGAACAACCAATACTCTGGGCCTCGAAAAGAGATCAACATTCTTGTACTCGGTGAAACTGGAGTCGGAAAATCGACGTGGATCAATGGCATTGCAAACTATATGAGCTTTGATCACATTGCCGATGCATTGGAAGCACCAGAACCGATCTGTGTCATTCCATCAATGTTCACGATGTGTGACGAGAACTATCAACAACGACAAATCGTCATCGGAAACTCGACGAATGAAGTGTTTGGACAAGGACAAAGTGCGACACAAGACGCTCGAACTTATCTCTTCCCACACCCGAAATATGACGTTTATATCATCGATACTCCTGGCATTGGAGATGTTCGTGGAATTGAACAAGACAAGGAGAATACAAGGAAAATTCTCAATGCTATTGCAGCTTACAAGAATTTACATGCAATTTGTCTATTGTTCAAGTCGAATGACGCTCGGATGACGTTGAGCTTTAGATATTGCATTGGAGAGTTGCTACTTCAATTGCACAAAGACGCAGCCAAGAATATCGTGTTTTTCTTCACGAATGCTCGTGGGACTTTCTACAAACCAGGGGATACAATCGTCCCTTTAAGAGCTTTTCTCGATGAACTTCAAGCGAAACACGGGATTCAAGTGGCTCTTGATCGGAGCAATATCTTTTGCCTGGACAATGAGGCTTTCAAATTCGTTTGTGCCTATCACGATGGAGTTGAGTTTAGCGAAGATGACATGAAAAATTTCGAAGCAAGTTGGGCAAAATCGGCCGATGAGACGCATCGCTTCCTTGATTATGCTGCTGGATGCAAACCACATTCTGTTGACAAGACTCTCTCAGTGAATCAAGCTCGTGGAATCATTCTCCAGCTGGCTAAACCCTTGGCTGACATTAATGAATTGATTGAGACAAATATCAAAGTGTATGATGATCGAAAAGTCGAGATTGAAAACACGAAAGCGACGATCAATGACTTGCAACAGAAGTTATTGATCCCACAAATCGGGATCAAGACTGAGGAACTCAGCTATCCGATGACCGTCTGCACTGGCCAAAAATGCATCGAAACCCAATCGATTCCAAACAGTGAACAATTGCAGACGATCTACAAACAAATCTGCCACGATCACTGTCAATTGGATAACGTGGATCCGGAGAGATTCCCTGAGCCTCATCTACAACAATGTTGGGCAATGCAGGGTGGGCAAAGTTGTACGGTTTGCGGATGTTTATGGTCTACTCACATGCACATTCGCTTCAAGCAAGTGAAAACGAACGAATCAGTTGAAGATGTGAACATAAAAAATGCGATTCAAACAAATGAAGACGCTCGAATCACAAAGCAGAAAATTATCGAATCGTGTGAGAAAATCGTGAAAGAATACAAAGATGAACAGAAAACTGTGATGGATGCGAGCATTCGTTTTGCGGTTTTCTTGAAGCAGAATGCGATTATGACCTATAATGATGTTTTTGAGAAATATGTGGAAAAGTCGATTGAGGAAGAGGAAAAATGCATCAAAGCTGGAGGGGATCGGACGAAATTGGCCAATTTGAAGCGTTGCTTGGACGAGTATCGACAGGGTATGTTGATTTTGGAGTCCAGTAAGAATCTAGAGTTTTCAAGCAGGGCTAAGGATAGGTCATTGTAGCTACACTTTGAACTTAGAAATTAAAGTATTTTCAATTTCAAATGCTCAAATAGAAAACCTAGAAAGTTTAGAGGAACTCACTCAAATGATAAATAGCTGATAGTATCTAAAACCTAGTGGTATTTCTTGAATCAATCAACCACTTTGCAGAACGAGCCGCTATCGAGCACGCCTTGCAATCCGGCGGAAACCATCAGCAACAGATCACCACTGATGATGTCAAGAATATGAAAGCCATCCTCTTCGCATTGCCTCATTTTGGAGCAAAACTCAAAGAACTCTTTGAGCAAACAGTGCGCGGATATTCGATGAATCAACAAAAAAGCGTGCAAAAGTTTGCCCCACCAACGTACACTGCAGCCTCTTCTTCTGGTGGTGGAAAGAAGTGGGTTAGATTGAATATTTAGATAAAGACAAAGATATTGTTGTTAGTGTTAGTCTAATATTTTTCCCGTGTTCCGTAGATGATGTTGTTGTTACTTAGTGTTGTTGTAAAGATGTTGTTGTTACTTAGTGTCAATCTAATAGTTTTTAACGGGTTACAGTACTAAGCTTTGAGTCTTACAAAATACTTGGCAAGATTAAAAACACTTGAACATTTTCAGACGTGGTCTCATCGACAAGCTTCGCCGCATCTTCCCCAAATGAGAGAACAAAAAAAGAGAAATTTTTGAAGAGAAACAAACCTTACAACAGAAATTCCAATCACCTATCTTTTTATTTAAGTTTAATATCTTTGATCTGCATCAACTTTGGCCTAAAGTTTTTTTTCCTACCAAATTTTCCATCTCCTGTTATAAAATTCACAACACAGTTTCTTCGTATTTTTGTAATTTTTCAGATAATTGTAAAATAAACTTTGAAAATCACTTTGGCAACAGAATTTGGTGCAAATGGCAAATGCAAAATGATGCTAATGCTTACAAGGCTCGAGTGATTCAGGACTGACGCAAGCAGCATTTTCCCGATTTGGCCTCTTTTAGTAGCCATCCTGAGATCCCGATCTTAATTCAATGGATTTCAGTGTTTCGAATGTTCTTGAAGCAACAACATGCTTAAAACCGCATCTCAGCATTGATTCGCTTCAGAAATCTTTTCAAAAAGCATGTGATAAACTCGATGCCGCTTTCCATTTGGCCACGGTGGATGCATTTTTCAAATGTCACAAGGCCCATAAATATCTTTTTAAATGGAATTGGGTTTTCTTGCTTAATATTACTTTAAAAATCAATTGTTAAAGTATTTGAGTTAATTTCTCTTTTTTTATTTTTTAGTTTTTTAGCCTCACTTAGGATTTCTAAGTGACCAAATGAAATGTGCCTTGTTGTAGACTGTCGAGAATTGTTTGAGAATTTGCGAATCATTTTTCCAAGTCTTGGTTTAGATTTATCTTTTTTGTCTTGTCGATGGCCTGAAAACCAGGTCAATTCCAAACTCTATGTGTAGCAATCGTTCCAACTTACAACCTAATCAAAAAACTCACTACTAACTCCGATTAAAACACAAATAACGATTGTGATCATGATTAATTTATGGATTTTATGGTTTGCCTTTGTGAGAGATGTCCAGTGGACTCTTTATTCTGTTTACATTTCAAACCTTGTGTCTATTTTCAAATTTGCAATGTTTATGTTTTTCAAACTTTTTCAAGACTTCCTGTAAACACAAATGCGAATCAAAATGCGAAACAAAATCAAAATTAAAATTGCGAATCATCATGTTATCATCATGTTCACTGTTTTGTCTTTTTGATTAGTTCTTGGCAATGAGAATTGCAGGAGCAAGTAAGGTCAATACGAAAGAAATCTCACTGTGCGAAGCACAGTGAGATTCTTTCAAGAGATAGATGGAGGCGAGAGTGCAATACTGTCCCGGCATGGAAAATATTGAGTAGAAGAAACGGGCTGTGTTCTCGGTGGTTGCGAGTAATCTGAAAATGAAGGTTTGTTATGAACGGAGCTAGTTGATGACGTTTTAGCTTAAAGGGAAACCTTTTCAGGTTACGGAATGAATCTCGGAAATTCCTGGGAGTACAAACATTATCACAAGGAACCCAATCTTTTAGCAGAATTTTTTGAAAATTGTCTACTCGTCTACTAGAATACTCGCCCATTGCCAGACCCAGATTGGTTGTGCTCGTTTGGCTTTCCACAAGATCGGAAGCTCGGATTTGGGATTTGTTGGCCCACTGGTAAAGCCATGATCATCTAGTGGCAGTGTTAAGAATTTTGAGCGATTTTCAAAACGAGCGATGTTTTGTTATGCAGCTATTCATTTCCGATGAGAATAAGGACAGGTGGCTGTAATTGGAGGTGAACCATGAGCTGAACTAGACAACATTTGTCAACAGCAACCTTGATTTGGATGTTCGATATAATGAATAAGGTGCGTTGCAAAATGATAGGATCACCGCTAAATTTTACATTTTTTAGCTATGAAATTTAATAACACGAAATAGCTTTTAAATCCTCGAAATGTATACAAAAATAGGCATATATACCATTTTTAACGTTATCTGAACGAATTGCAACAAAATTATAACAATTTCTTTATTTCACACCTGTTGCAAAATGATAGGACCACATAAAAAATAACAATAAATTTGAGAATAAACAAAAGAAAAACGAATGAAAAGTTCCTTAATAGTCAATAGATGCTCGCTTTTTCTCGATGACGTCGAGTAGACGACTTTTCATCGTTCACTAAGTTTTGAAGCGTTTGTGGTGGAATTCACATCCAAGCGTGGAAAATTGCGTCGAGTTGTCGTGTCGTAGGTCTTTCCATTAGCCCTATTATTAAAAAGTACAGTAATCCTTGATTTCTCTAATGTTTTAATGCTTAGGTAAATAAATTTCCCTTCACTTGCTCGAAAATCTCGTTTTCGGCATCCGATGAATCCGACGAATCCGACGAGAGGAAAACGCTGTTTTGCAAGTGAGGCATCGATCCGTAAAGCCGTTTGTTTTTGCTTAAAACGATAATTTCACAAGTAAACGGTATTTAAAATACAACCCAGACAATCTTTTGGATGAGATAACCAAATGGAAAATGAAACAAATAGTAGATAGTTTATTGACAAAATGAAATAGTTCGACAATGTTCTCGATTTTTATTTTGGAGAGCCGCCAAAAAATGACTTCAACCTCTTCTTCACGCCACTTACACCGGCAGAGACCCAGCTGAAATTCATGATTTATTGGTAATTTTCTGGTATTCATATTTACGATATGTTCCTCGTGAATAGTGTGTTTTCTAAAAGCTGGATAACTTCTAAAACTACCGTGTCTTTTTTAGATTTGGTCCGATTTACTTAATTTTGATCACATTTGATGAGGAACCAAATCGTCATGGTCAAAACTAAGTGGAAAGGGCAAATTTTGAAGGAAAGGTGACGGTAGCTCTTCGCAAATTGTCTACCTTTTAGAAAACTACTCACACGGAGCACTCTTAATTCATAGCGAAGTGATGAAAAAGTTGCCATTTTGCAATTTTTTGGATTCACAAGAGCTGGATTTATGTAAAAGGCTGTTTTTCTCATCATTAATCGAATGGTTCGGGACAAAGGAAAAATTTCGATAATTTTCTTGGATTCTTGGTGGAGCCACCAAGAAACGAGAACACTTTCTTCACACCACCACAAATTTTCCTAAAATTTATGATTAATCGCCATTTTCTGAAGTAACGTAAAAATTTCAAGAATACATGCTAAAAATTAGCTTCATAAATGTTAGTTTAGATCTTGTAGTTCATTTTGTGATTCTTTTTCAACTATTTTAAGCTCTATTTTATTTAGTTTTATTTATTTATTTAGTAGCGCTCTATTTAAGCTCTACTAAATAAATAAAACTTAAGCTCTACTATTGTAAGCTATTAAGAATTTAAGCTCTATTATTTTAAGCTAGTTGCTAGGTTTCAATGAGTGATGCGTTTTCTAAAAGTTGGCTAATTCGGAAAGCTACCTTTTGGACGACTCTAGGGTTACTCTAGGGTTATCTGAATGCTAGATAGTTGGTTACTTCAAAAATCAGCTGCAAGAGCTGGATTTGTGCAAATGGCTATGCTTAAATTATTCCAATATAATGCAATGAGCAAAAGACTGGGACTTATTATATCTATGCCTCTATTTTTCTATCCATTTATCTATCTATTTTTTGCAAAACTCACTGAAACATCGATTTCTCGCAGCGTGTCACAGTTGCCTCATAATCCTGATGATCGGTCTTCACATGAATATCGAAAATCTGTGCAATCATTGCGCCATTCAGCGGCAAAGAGAACAACATTTGTCGAATTTCTTGTAGCTTATCAAGTGAGATCTTTGCCGAGTCTCGTTGATGAACAAATTGTTTGCAAATATCTCCATAAGTCACACTGAGTTTGAGCAATCCATTGAATTCATCCTCATCCACCCCAGCTAAGCTTTTCATTCTCTTTTCTTCGGCAACAATCAGTTTCTGTAAGTGTTGTTCAAAAAGATTTGTTTTCTGAGTGATCCCATTCTCAGCAAGGAAAGCAGAAAACGTTGCCATTGCGAATAAAATGTAATTGGATTCTTTTTGATATCCATTGATGAATCGCTCAAATTTTCGAATTGCGGTTTTCTTCATCTCGGCAGCATTCGCTTCTGAGGCGAGTTTTTGTGGGTTTTCGAGAGATTTTATGGTGATTTCTTGCTCGTACGAGATTCGCTCGTGATCAGTTATGTGACAGGGGCATTCAGTGCAGAAGCCATCACGAAATACTGCACATCCGTCTCGCTTTCCATTATCGCCTAGTTTGCAATCTTTGTGGCATACCCTGTAGATCAACGTTTCTTTTCCATCAATCCTTTCATACCTTGCACATTTTTGACTCCGACAAACGGTTTGGGGCATCGATAGCTGTAAGATTTCTATTGAAGTCACTCGAATCATCGCCAATCTCCGCAATTCTTCAACATTGTTCTCAGCTTGCATCAGCTCTTCCTTCTGCCAATCCAGTTGCTGCAAGTTTCTCTGGATCATTGTACAGGCTTTGAGAATTGGATCGATTAACTGATAGATCCAAGTCCGAGTCTCATTGATTGACAGCGTGTCCGAGGTGTTGTGCGGGCGAGCTCGTGCAGCGTGATCAAACAATCTCTGTACTTCGTTCGACGAATGTTTCCAGCTATCGGCAAAAGTTTTTATTTCCCTTGTATCGAATTGAATGTCACTGAAATGAGCACAAAGGAATCGGAAAGCTTCATTGTCCAAACAGAAGATGTTGCTATCATCAATTCTCACTGAAAGTCCTTCTTTCTCCTTCAGCTCATTGAAATAAGCCTTCAACGGTCCCATTGTATCACCCGGTCGATAAAAAGTCCCTCTAGCATTTGTGAAAACGAAGCAAGCGTTGTTGAGCGCCGTTTTACTCAAATTCCCAAGCAATTTCCCGATCGAGTAGCGGAAAGATTCCGTGAGACGAGCCTCATTCGCTTTGAAAAGAAAGCAAATCGCATGGATCTCTTTGAAAGGTGCGACTGATCGAAGAATATTCTGAATGTTTTCCTCGTCTTTCAAGTGTCCTCTGGTATCATTCATTCCCGGAGTGTCAATGATATAAATATTGTGTTCATCATGCTCAAACATATACGCCTTGGCGCTTTGAGTGGCGGATTGACCATTGTCCGCAAAAACCTCATTGTCGTGTGCTCCAAGATGGACATCGTGTCTCTGATAATTGTCGTCAAACATTGTGAATTTAGTTGGAATCACGCAAATCGGCGCGTCGGCAGCAATCGCTTCATCTAACGTTTTGTAAGTTAAATAGTTGACAAGAGCGTTTATCCATGTTGATTTCCCGACTCCTGTCTGTCCGAGCACCAAAATATTGATCGACTTTTTCGTTGTTGAGCCGAATTCTCGCACTTTGGCATTTTCCTTCTGTAGCCACTCGATTTTTTCTTTTTTGACTTTGGGTACTTGCGTTTTGACGGCTTCGAGAGAAATCTCTTGAGATGGAGGAGTGAATCTAGGCTGATTAGAACAAGTTTCGGAAATAATGGCTGGTAAAAGCTCCTATTTTTTAGGTTTACTCGTACTTGAACACGCTTGTGAATCGTTTTGGCTCTTGTAGCTTTCATGCTTTTCCGGTTTTGCTTGCACAACTTGATTCCAGCTTCTCGTAGAAGCAGGTTGTTTCCTCTCTTCATTCAGGTCTTGTACAGTTAGCTTATGATCAGAAGTGCTTTGAGACTGAGAAGAAAGACGGTGACTCTTTACACCATCAAGATCTCCTTTCCTATTTGGAAACAGAGCATTTTTGTTCTTGTCTTTAGATTTAGCACTTGTTGAGTGACCAGCCAGTTGACTCGAGTGCTCAGAAGAATGTTGAGAACTTGCCGAAGTTCGAGGTATGGTAATGGGGCTCAAGCTGGTCGGGTTCTTTGAAGCAGCCTCATAACTTGAACTCCTTCTCGAAAACGAAAATTCATTCTCATTTCCCTTTTCTTTTTCCAAATCACCATGTATTTTTTTGGAAGTAGTTCGGCTCAAACGAGCTGAGACTCTCTGATAATTCGGTGTGTTTTCAGTTACCGATGAACATCGCTGAGCAGGCCAGCTCAAATCAATTGGGGTCATCGGTGAATCTTCTTTCAGCTTTGCAACAGATCCATTCCCCTTCTCCCTTTCAGATTCAACAACTTTTTCAATTTGCTTGACAAGTGGTTGTACATTTGTATGGCACTCGTGAAATGAAGCGCTTGAGGTGATAAAGGAAGATAAAGGCTTTGCAGCTGAGACGACATCTTGTTCCTCGAATTCTCGTTGAAGAGGCAATTGAGAAGTTCTTTGTGGATCATTTGATGAATTGTAATCACTTGGTTGTTTTGTTTCAATTGGCGGAATCTCATCCGAAGGATCCAAAAGAATGAAGTCATCCACAGCTTTCTCCAATGGCTTCTTCGAGAAATCATCCTGAAAATTTCGTTTAGTATTTGAAAATGGGATTTAATCCATTTCATAGAGCGGTGTTCACATCTGAAAATTAGCATGATTTGGCTGTAAGATTGTAGTTTTTAAAAAATGACACGTTTTAATAAAAACATTTTCATTTTTAAGTTCTAGTGAAATAATCACTTGTTTTTCTTCTCTCCACAAATTCTTGCTTAAAGTGTTCAGGAAGAGTTTTGCTTGTTCGGGTGATAGATCTTGTAGACGGGCGTTGATGTTGTGGGCGTTCAGTTGGGCTTCACGAATCAAATTCACATCTTGGTGTCTTTTGAACGGATCGACAGCGTTTTGTTGATCAGGATCAGATTTTCTGGCGACTGGCTAAAATTGCTTAGTTATAATTTTCGAATAACTCTCACTGGAGTCTCATCAACTAAAGCTTTCCTGAAAAATCCTTTAGCCTAAATTAAGATTAACCAAATTGTAAACTAAAGCCAACTATTAAGTCGATTAGCAAAAAAAACTTACAGTATCGAAGTGTTGATTGCAACCGTTTTTCCTTTGAACTCCATTGGAAGCATCCATTTCTTCCATTTGTTCCGGGAAATTCTGAAAAATTCTATTTTTTAAAATTTACTCTTAATCTTTTATAATAAGCTGCTGATATTCTGGTTAGGCTAAGAATTTTTGCACTAATCGCTTAAAATTTACCTGTTGTTCAGTCAAAGTTGGTGCTTCAAGCTCAATGTCATTCATTTCCATCGGCACCGGTGAAGCGTGGGGAAATTGAGAAGTCGCATCATCTAAGGAAACAACTTATTGCTATTGAAATCTAACTAGATATCAGAATTCGTCGGTGTGCCAAATGGCAAACGTTTATGAACAATTTCCTTGGTTTAGTTGCCCACCTTGTGCGTCATTAGAAGAAGGAAGTCGAGAGACCATTCCACAAAAAATGATCTAAAACTTTGATCATTTTTTCATAAATTTCTAGACTAAACATGAGAATGAAAAGTTTTCGATAGCAAACGGACCAAACCGCTTCTGAAACCAGCCAATAGAGTTAACCAGAGAAGTTTATTGATTAGAAATGAATGAATAAGAAACCAAGTTTTGTGAAAAAAGAAAATGATTGCTGGTTAAAGAACATCAATGAACAAAAAACATAACTTGATGAAATGGTTCTATTTTCTCTTGTTCTTGTTCTTCTTGTACTTGTTATTATTTTGCTGTTGATTCTTCCATCCACCACTCAAAGGCACAGGGCTGAAAAGTGGAGTGTAAAAGTTTACTGAAGGCTTACTTTATCGTAATCAACACTGAAGTATGTTCCTTGAAAGTAATGCATTTCTTAAGGATACCTTTTGTGGAAAAATATTATAATTAAACTCTCAGTTTGCATTTAATTAGCTCGATTTTGGTATCATTCGTTGAGGAATCACAAGGCTCAGTGGGTCAATGCCAACCAAAGCAGCGCCGTGCCCAAAACAGCGCCGCGTAAAACCGCGACGAGCAGAAAAATTTAAGCAGATTTACTTGTGAAACTTTGGATCATTTATATAGCAATTCTTAATTATACTGCAAGTTTTAAAATGCAAATTTAGTTTCAAGATCCACAGTAACCAAGCAACTTTTAAACCCACATCTCTTTCTCGCCCGTCTTCTTGTACTTCCCAAAGTTTGCCGGTTGAACTTGCTTTGGTGGTGAGTATTTAACCGTCACATGTTGTTGATGTTTTGCCAACCCGTCTTCCGTCGCAGCAAACAAGTTCTTCAGAATTTTCCCCGTGTGTTTCAGCCCGAACAATTCCGCTTTCATCACCTCAATCTCATCCGGGGTAATCGTATTCCCTCCATTTGCAATCGGATTCTTCTGCGCTTCGATCAGCATAGCTTTCTCTTGTCGATACTCATCCAAAAGCTTTTTCAAATTATCCAATTTCGATCGATCACCACCAATATCCGTGCATTTCTCCTCTTCGGAAATTGTTTGCTCCACGTATTTCTCGAAGGCGTCATTGTAGGGAAGGATGGCATTGGCTTGCAAAAAGCTTCCAAATCGCAGAGAAGTTCTGATGATTTTCTGTTGTTCTTTCTCTAGCTCATCAATTCCATTCTCACAATCCCGAATCATTTTCTCCTTTACTTTACTCGCGTCTTGCTTCTGTTGAATGAGAACCTTCGTGTTGTTGTCTTCGACTTGGACACTAGTCTTGATTTGCTCAAAACGGATGTGCATATGTGTACTCCAAAGACATTTGCACACTCGACATTTTGATCTTTTAGTCATTGCAGAGCATTTTTGAAGGTGAGGTTCAGGAACACGTTCTACATCAACATTTTTGAGAGAGCAACGACCATGACAAATCTGTTTGTAGATCGTTTGGTATTGAGTAGTGTGTGGCAATTGGATAGTATCAATGCATCTTTGAGCAGCACAAACGGTTTTCGGGTAGTTCAACGGCTTGACTTCTATTCCAATCTGTGGAATCAGAAGCTTTTTCTTCAAATCGTCTAAAGTTGCAGCTGTATTTTGGAGGTCTCTCCATCTCTCATCAAATACTTTAATGTTCGACTCAATCAACTCATTCACATCGGCCAATGGTTTCGCTAAATGAAAGATGATCGTTCTTGCCTGGTTAATCGACACCGTATCAGCAACATGATGTGGCCGTTGACGAGCAGTGTACTCAATAAAACGTTGGGTTTCGGCAGCTGATTGTTTCCAGCTTGCAGCAAAATTTTGAAAGTCTTTTTTGGTGAATTTCGCTCCATTGAAATGAGCACAGACAAGTCGAAAAGCTTCATTATCAGTGCAACAGATGTTATCACTTGTGAGTGCAATTCGAAGTCCTCTTTCCTTGTGCAATTCAGTGAGAAAAGCATTTAATGGAGTCATCGTATCACCGGGTTTATAAAAAGTGCCACGTGCATTTGTGAAAAAGAAGATAATATTGTCAACAGCGTCTTTGTGGAGTTGGAGTAAGATCTCACTGATGCAATATCTGAAGCTCGACGTCATTCTTGCTTCATTGGCCTTGAAAAGAAAGCAAATTGCGTGCAAATGCTTGTACTGTCCAATGGCGCCAAGAATTTTCCTTGTATTCTCTTTGTCTTGCTCAACTCCACGAGTATCTCCAATTCCAGGAGTATCAATGATATTCACAATGTACTTGGACGTCTCAAATTGGTACGTTTTCGGTTCTTGCGTCGACGATTGACCCTGATCGGAGAATGTCTCATTCTCATCTTTCTCGCTGTGCGATGGCTCAAGTTTCACGTCAATCTTCGTCTCATTTGTCTCGTATAAAGAGAACTTGCTGGCAATAAGGCAAATCGGTTCTCGAGCGTTGAGTGCATCCTCAAGTGTGTCAAAGCTCATGTAATTCGCGATTCCATTGATCCAAGTCGATTTTCCGACTCCCGTTTCACCAAGAACAAGAATATTGAGCTCCTTCTTGGTGCCAGTGTGCTGTTCAGATTGAGCCTTGAAAAATTGATTTGTTGGCTCATCGTTTTGCTCTTCTGCAGTCAGATATTCTTCTTCAGATTCCTCGGATTCTTCACTTTCTTCAGAGAGCTCATTTGCTGATGTTGCCACATTTGACGGCACGGAAGGATTGTTTTGTTGTGCTTGTGGCGAGTTGAGGAACATTCTGTACATTTGCATCATCATCATTTGGAATTGCGGATCGATTGGGTTGAAAGACATTAGTGGAACTGGTTGAGGATTTCCTGAAAATTTATCAGTTAACTTCACACTTTTCCAATTTTTAGCCTTAACTTCTTGCGTTTCCAAGTCTCACAATCGGCCTTTTGAGCTGCTTTCAAACTTTTGTCAATGCCTTAATATTTTCAAATCTCACCTGGCGGGGCAAAATTCGGCGCAAAACCAAAAGCATTGTTGAACATTTGCGGCGGAAATGGTGCTGGTTGATTTGCATGGTGTTGGCCGTTCATTCCATTTTGTTGAAGCTTGCCTGAATTGTTCAAAAGTACTACAGGTTTTATATCAAGAATCTACTTAAGCTGAAATCCAAGTTCCATAGGAGTTATTTCTGATTTTAAGCCTCACCTGGCATGGCGCCATTGGGTCCAAATCTGAAAGAGTTGTGGAAGATTTGTTGTGGATATTTTGGGTTCACATCATTGGATTGCACGTTCGAAGGTTTTTCGTGTTGTTTATGACCTAAATTTTTTGGTCATGTAGAAGGTATTCATAGTTCACAAAACACATCCACAGTTTCAGTAATAAAGAAGTGAAGGAATTGGCAAGAGAGGGGATTTCCATTTCATAGAATAAATCAAAATCGACAACATGCTTACCTCTTTGCTCGAACTTTTGATCGGGAACCTTCCGAGAAGTGCCACCGTGATACCCATCCGCTCTCGTCGGCTAAAAGTTTCAAATGGCTCTGTAAAACCTTTCACAAGTCATGAAAGCCTTGACATTATGACCGACCTTGCAAAAGGAATCAAAACTAAGTTATGGGTATTCTTTGCTCACCCGTGCTTTGTTGTTTTGACGCTTCGTTTGTTGTTTCGGAAGTGGTTCGAATCGTTGTGCCTGAATCGATTTGTAAGATTTGTCTCAAAGTTTAACTCGAATGTGTTCATCTCAAGTCCACTTTTGCAAAGCATCTTTTCTCTATTTTATCCAATCGAAATCCTCTCGAATCATCTCAAAAGTAGTGTCTAACTTGCATAAAACTAGAGGCAAGTAAGTAAAACCACAGCAATTGTATTTGTCGAAACTCTTATTGTAAAGGATGCACGTTTTTCAACCTAATTATAAGCTCAACCCACCGTTGATTTGTAAGCATAAAGCGCTAGATGTTTCAGTTGACCAATCTTTGAGAGTTGCGGCGCACATTCGACCACGATTCGTTGCACATTTTCATCGGTAAATGTCACAACTACACGACGAGGTTTTCCATTTTGTTCAAATCGTCCTTCTCGTTTGATCTCACGAATATTTCCAGCCAGACTTTCCGCGTTGATCGCATATAAAACTTGATGAAAAGCATTCCGATCGGCTTGCTCTTTCATCTGATCATCACCAAATGGTTCGGGTAGGTTGAAAAGCACGATTTTCTTCTTCACATCTGCATCGCGATCATCGAAATGAATTGGCTGTTGAGAAGGGTTGAATTGGCGTGTTTGATCGAAAGAAGCCGACTCCGTTGCACTGAGGTCATCAGCCTGAAATGTTCGTGTAAATTTAGCTACAAAACTCTGTGAACTTTTATATATTACTACCAGTTTCATTTCTAGTTTAAATTCTTTACAATCACTGTTGAAAGACACTGCGCTGATTGCAGAATCCGGTATGGACAGGCCATCTACAGTGTAGTATAGAAAGGAAATCAAACCTATACTACTCAAGCAACCAGTTTCATTCAAAGTTCTATTTTGACTCAGTCAAGGACACATAAATTGAGCTTTAAATGGAAGAAATACAAAAACTACTGTAATCTAACGGTAGGTTTCCATTCAAAGTTAAATTTCTGTGTCATTGACTGAGCCAAAATTAGGCTTTGAATACTTATCGTTAGACTACGGTAGGTTTCAATGGTGTCCTTTAGAAAACGAACTAGTATCTATTGTTTAACTTTCTGCTTTTCAACTTGCCTGTCCATCAATTGTTTCAGAGTCACTTTCCTTGTCCAAGGCATTTAAAAATGCATTCACCGAGGCCATCGCATCGCTTGCCATTCTTAAAGTTAAATTAAAATAACTAATAAACTTTCGGAAAAACAAACATATTCAACTGTTTCAAACAGCTATTAAATCGAGAAAAAAAACCTAAGAAATTTATTCAAACAATCACACGTTTCACTTTCTATACTGAATAATAAGATTTGTTTTTGTGACCACTTCAACAACGTCGAGATCCGGGAAATCAAATAATTTCTTGTAAATGGACGATTCTCTCAAGCCAGTCCCAACAATTAGATTATCTTTTAGTTCTAAAATTCTCAGGGAATAGTTCGCTAAAGTGATCTCCTCTTGTTCACTCGGTTTCTCACTTGCCAGGAATTTCTGCTGTTGGTGAATTGCAAGCAACTTCTTCAGCTTATCAATCTCATATCGATCACTTCCCGTTTTCAGTGTTTGCTCCAATTGTTCAATCGAGAATTCGGCATATTCCTCGAAAGCAGAATTCACTGAAACGATTAGGTTCTCCTGAAGAAAGGCAAAAAACGGCTTGGCCAGTTGTTGAGCTTTTTGATACCTTTCCCTGAGAACTTTAAGTTCTTGTTGGCTTAGAGTGATGTACAAGGATTTACTTAAAATTTGTTGAGTAACTTGATCATTTTCTTCCTTTTTGTCAGCTTTTACCTCACCAACCCTCTTTCTCTGTGAGTACAGAATGTGCATATGAGATTGCCACGAGCATCCACAAACACTGCAATTCCCTACTTGGTCAAAAATTGGGCATTGACGCAAACTCGTGGCTCCAATTTGATTTAAAGGCACATTTTGCACGGAACAGCTTTGACAGCAAACCCGTTTGTGAAAAGTTTTCAAAGCATTCGTCGTCGGATCTCGAATCGTTTCCACGCAATTCGGTCCACAACACACTGTATTTGGTTGGGAAATTGGTGTCTCTTTCAAGTATGTCCCTTCAAAAACTTCTTTCTTCGTATCAGCCAATTTCTGCTCCAGAATCTTATGCAGATTCATTTGTTGATCCAAAGCTTTTTGCCATTGTCTGATTCTTTCATCAAAATCAGCCAAAATTGTGCACAGCTCATGGGTCACTGCACGAACAGTGCTCACCGCTTTCGTCTCATTCGCCAAATGTGGATCTAAATCGGTGACCGAATCAAATAATCTATAGGTTTCCTTTACAGTGTGATTCCAGGATTTCAAAAAGTTGTTGACGCAGGCTTTCTCAAATTGAACTCCTTTGTGACGAGCGTAGAGCATTCTCACCGGTTCATTATCCAGACAAAAAGTGTTGGCACTGGTAAGTGGGATCTCGTTTTGGTTCTCATTCTTCACGTCTTCAAAAAGCTTTCTCAGGACTGTCATTGTGTCTCCTGGTTTGTAGAGAGTGTTACAAGAGTTCGTGAAAACAACGGAAACGTTTGGAATTGCGTTTCGGTGCAGATTTGTTAGCAGTTCAACGATGCAGTATCGAAGTGACAGCGTGAGTCGACTCACGTTCGGTTTCAGTAGAAGGCAAATCCCATGAATTTTATCCCATTTTGACACACATTTCATGATCATTCTCATATTTTCCATGTCACATTCTAAGCCTCTCGTGTCACCGATGCCCGGAGTATCGATGAGATTGAAAGCCACCGTGTCGGTGACAAATCGATAGACTTTTGGTGCCTGTGTGCAGGATTGTCCCGTACTCGCGTTGGCCTCGTTTTTCCCACTTTCCAATGTTTGCGCTTTCATCGAAACGGTTGTTTTCTCGAACTTCTCCCCAGTGTACACGTTGAACTCCATTGGGATCACGCAAATCGGTTTCTTTCCATTTAAAGAATCATCGAATGAATCGAATTTTATGTAATTCGCTATGCCATTGACCCAAGTTGATTTTCCGACTCCCGTCTCACCGATGATCACAATGTTTCGTTCTTTTTGAACTTTTGGCGGCCCGGCGGTGTCGAAGTTGCGGAAAGGATTCGATGGGACTTCTGGTTTGGTCGACTTCGTTACCGTCTCAACAGTCTGAAATATCTGAGTTAGTTTTTTTGATAGAGCCATGTCATTGTTTTACAGTTGAACCTAGCTAGCCTCATAAAAGTGGACGCCAACAACCATTTTCTTTTTCATTTTTTATAAAGTTAGTTAGTTAAATGGTTCAGAAATACTTGTTATCGTAAATGCTGTATTAGAATGACATGTTATTCTACTTTTCAACCCCTCAACATCGACCGATCCAAAAAATAGGGAAGAAGGGACCACATGAACCAAAAATATAAAACAAAAGCAAAAAAACTATTTTAAACGATGGCCCTTTGTCCAAAACATGCAAAAAACACGTTTAATAGTGAAATTATTTTATTACCCTTTGAATCTCCAAAGAAAAATCCATGTGGACGACCGTTATAGATTATTTTTATATTTTTTTTCAAAATAGGGTTTTAAATTTTACTGCCGATAAAATTTTAGTAGGTTTTAGGTTTAGATCTACCCATAGAACTCCCTCAAAAGGGTCTAAAGTCAAGATTCCGAGGAGTGTCATTCTAATACAGCATTTACGGTATCCATTCTTTACCTCATCTTTCAGCTTCGATTTCTTTCTTTTAGTCGACGGATTTGATGGAGCTGGATATTGGGACACGGAGAGCTGTTGAGCGAAAGCGTTGACCACGAATGGCATTGTCTAAACAAATTAAAAGTTTTGATAATACTGAAGGTTACCAACGTGGTAACCATTTAACAAGTCAAATGGTTACCAGTAATTTTTAGGTAAAGCTCACAGTTAAATGTTTAATTTAGGAAACGAGAAACTATTATTAAGTCCCAGTCTCTGCCCTTAATCTTTACAGTATTCGCGCGCAAAATTGACTACTTTCCAACTCACCTTTGAAAAGTGTTTAGTTTCTTGACGCCTTATTTTAATTTGTCAAACTGTAGTAAATACATTTGATTAATTGGAACTCAATCAAACTAGCTATAAGTTTGGAGAAACTAAACCATAACATGCAAAGTATAAGTTTTGAGCTTAGCTCACCTGTTTCCCTTGATCATTCTCAACTCGCGTCTCTTTTTGCTTTTGTTGGAAAGGTTTTTTGATTGAAATCGATTTCCAGTCTTCTGACTTCTTCAGTTTCCCCGAATTTCTCAAGATCTTCATTTGATCATCTTTAGTGGCTAGTTGAACAATAAGTTTTCGAGGTTTCTGTTGGGAGAAGTCGAATTTCCCGTGTCGATGGACTGTTTCAATGTTGATTTGATCGACGATTGATCGTAGAATTTCGGTGGCCGATTCTAAGTCTTTGGCTTTTCGTGCAGCAAAACCTCCAGATGGTTCGGGCCAGTTTGAAAGGCACGATTTGATTCTTTTCCTCCTTTGAGTTCCCGTTGGTGTCAGAAGTGGTTGGCAAACAAAGTTGAGCGTTGTTGTTCTGAAAAAAGAAAAACCGTTTTGAAATTTAAAATACTCTACAATACAGGGTGCGGCAAAAGTTCTGACACTTTTTCTAAGAGAAATAAAAGTTGTAAACTTTGGCAATATTAATCAAAAAACGATAACAAATTGTTTATTGAAGACAAAACTAACAAAAAATCATAAAAAATGTTCAAAATTTCCACCCTTGGCCTCGAAGCACTTCTTCAATTGCTTGCGGAAGTTGCCGACGATGGTCGCGCATTGCTGAACAGTGATTTCAGCCCAGGCCCTCTTCAAAGCGGCTTTCAAAGAATCCACGGTGTGAAATCTCTTGCCAGAGATCTTGTCTTCCAAGATCGACCAAACGGAGAAGTCCAGGGGGTTCAAATCGGGGCTATTCGACGGCCAAATGTCCTTACCCCAGTAGCCCGGAAACAGCTGATTGCAGAGAGCGAGAGTCGAGCGAGCTCTATGGGCCGGCGCCCAGTCTTGCTGAAGGGTAAATCCAGTTTGTCCGAAATGATTCGCTGCCCAGGGCTCTAAGACATCCTTTAACACCTTTTGCTGGTAGACCGTAGCGTTGATTTTCACATTTCGATCGATGAACACAAGAGGCGTTTTTTCTGTGGCACAGATGCTACCCACACCATAACGGACTTTGGAAAATGTTGGCGGACCATCAATTTGGCTGCAAAAGTGTTTTTCAGATCTCGCTTGAGAAGTTGGCGATGGTTTTGACGATTGTGGATCGCTTAAACGGTGAAGATCTTCTCATCTGTGAACACAACCTTGTCCAAACGACCAGCAGCGACCAGGTACAAGATCTTCTTCGCTTTAGCCATCCTCTTTTGCTTCATGGCGTCGTTCAGGAAATGAGCCTGAGCAAATTTGTAGCTGAACATTCCAAGTTTCTTATGAACAATCCTTCAAACGCTTCTTTCGCTGATTCCGAGACTTGTGGCTATCTTTCTCATTGAACGAGTGGGATTTCGACGGATTCGGCATCTGACTTTGTTTGTGTTCTCTGGAGGTGACTGTGGTTGGCCGGCCGCTTCTTGGACGGTCCTGATCGTTGCCCCGCTTCTTGAATCGTTCAATGGCTCGATAGACAGACTTTTTTTTGGATATCCGGTGACTCAAACAATCTCCATCGGTACCTTTCCGGCTTTGTGCAACTCAAGTATCACAGTGCGCCTCTTTTTAGCATCCATATTGAAAGCGAGCCTAAACAAAAACGTTGTTTCTTGTTAAAAATAAGGAAAAACAGGTTAACAAATGCAAAAACATAAGAAGTGAGCCAAATACTGTTTTTCGAAATTTTATAAAGCCGTTTGAAAAAAAGTGTCAGAACTTTTGCCGCACCCTGTATATCAATAACCTGTCTAATGGACGTTTTGAAATTGAATTTAAATGTAAACACTTTTCAAATCTTGAATATTATGATCGAAAAGCACAACCGTGAATCCAACTTTTGAGCTCTTTCAGTGAAAAGTTTAGTGTTTGTTTTTTTTCTATAATGATCCATTTTTAGATTTTACAATGTTACAATTCTTCGCGAAATTTTGCTTACCGAATCTTGGATGAGCATATGTTGCATGAATCGATGGAAATTCTCCTGAAATTGGGCGAAATGTGCCGC